GTGGCCAATCGCACATAAACAAAAAAGATTAGTGGCGACTCCTAAGGTCAATGTCTAGCGATAGATCCTCAGATCTAACGTTATGACAAAACTTGTAGCCAAACTCATCCTGGTCATAACCAAAGAACACATTTTATCTAGTCTCAACATCAAGCTTGGACCTCTCTTGTTTGGGAATATGCACAAAAGCCTTGCATCCAAAGGTGCACAAAAGCCTTGCATCCAAAGGTGCACAAATGATCATAGGACACATCCTTGCCTAACAAAATGCTATCTTAAACATCAAAATTTAAAAGAACACATGTTGAAAGATTCAAAACATGTATAATTGTACTCAAAGCCTCACCCTAAAAAGATTTTAATAACTGTGTTTGTGAAAGCAAACATCTCACTTTTTTCATTAGTGTCCTATTTATCCTCTCAACTAACCCATTCAACTGATTAGTTTTAAGAGGTGACTTTTGATGCCTAATACCTTGTTGTTTACAATACCCATCAAAAGGTCCAATGTACTCACTGTCATTATCAATCATTATGCATTTCAATTTCAACCCTGTTTGTCTTTCAACTAAAGCATGGAATTATTTAAACACATCTAACACTTGGTCTTTTGATTTCTTGATGAGGGGATGTCTTAAATGCAACTCTAATTTGTTTCCCTGCCAAGCAATGATCACACTTCTTCAATAATACATTATTCACCCAAAAAAAAAAGATTTTTCTTGAGCAAAACCTTTAAACCTTTCTCGCTCATGTGACTAAGTAACTTATGCCAAAGCTCAGTTGTATCATCATTAGCTACTGCATTGATAATGGAATCAAATACCTTTACCTACATCAAACACAATGAATGCTTTATACCCCTAACTATAACCAGAAAATCTTTGGTGAACTTCCACTGACCATTATAAAAAATGCTACAAAACCTTTCATTATCAAGCTTCCTTGCAGAAATCAAATTCATGCGAATATTGGGAATATATTTAACATTTTTCAAGACCAATGTAGTGCCATTATTAGTCTCGAAGAACACATCTCTCTTACTAATGGCTTTAGCTGAGCCATCATTACTCATTTTAACACTCCCAAAATCATCAGGTGTGTAAGATACAATTTAGTCTTTCCGAGATGTAACATGAATTGTGGCACTGGTCTCAATCACCCTATAGTCTCATGGCGTGCAAGATTAACATCATCATCATATAAAATAAGGAAGTCATTTATGACAAAAGCAACTTTATCAGCATTATTACCATCACCATTTTTCTTTTCCTTCTTTGTCACTATTGTTATCTCTTTTCAACTTTTGGCAATATTTCTTATGTACCATTTTAGACCACAATAATGACACTCAACATTAGCAAATCTATTGGACTTATTCTTACTTCTGTCTCTATTCTTCAGACCTCTACTTTTACTCCTTCCCCTATTTTCTGTGACTAAAACCTTAAACTATGAAAAAGAACCCTATGACTTTCTTCTCATCTTTTTATTCAAAATACCCACTACTAGCCAAATCCATAGTAATAATACCATTTAGGATTGAGTTAGATAACATTATTCTAAACATCTTTCACGAGTCTAGCAATGTACTAAAAAATCATAAACCCTATATCTCATCTTCAAACTTAAGATTCATGCCAGCCAACTAATTAATAATACCTTGATATGCATTTAAGTGATTTGTCACAGGAGTTTCATCTGAATATTTCAAACTCATCAACTACTTAATTATTAAAAATAGTTTATTATTCTCAGTTTTTTGCGTATACAACTCCTCAAGCTTGCTCCAAAGAATACGTGCATGTGTTTCTCCAATAACATGGTTCAAAATATTATCATCTACCAACTGTCTAATATAATTACATACCTGTCGATGGAACAAATTTCATTCCTCATCTGTTTTATTTTCAGGCTTCAGTGACAAACATAGGCAAATAATAATCTTTCACATAAAGTAAATCTTCCATATTTTCTTTCCACACATGATAATTTAAACCATGTAAATTAATCATTCTACTTGTATTGGCTTTTATTATTTAACACAAGGCACAAATCAAATAGCTTGAATTCTAATACCACTTTGATGGGATAAAATAATCTCAAATAATATTCAAACCGAATATATCACGCTGCAAAAAAATCAAATTATCCCTATCTTGTGTGAATCTAGTAAGAATCAAACAAATAGAACTAACAAATAAATCACCAAATCACAAGCACAATGACACAAGCAATTTACGTGAAAAACCTTCAAAAAATGAGGAGTAAAAACTACGAGCAACAACAAATAATCTCCACTATTAAAATAATGAGAATACAAAGTTCTCTCTTGTTAAAACTAAAAGTATACAACCACAATATCTCAAGATTAAACAATCTTGATAAAAAAAATAATCTTGCAAGAAAAAATTGGATTAGTTTTAGCAAATTTAGAGATTAACAAATACCTACGAAGTCATACGGTAGAAAACTCGTAACCCAATTCTGTTGTTTAGACTAAAGAACAATGAATCATGAACACACTGATAAAATTTCGGCTTAATCAGACAACAGATTGACCTTAATCAAACTACTTGACAAAAACTGCACAAAAAACCCATTTTCTCTCTTTTTTCTCTAATTTGTCACTACACTTTCTTATTTCTTTTTCAGCCATATAAGGGTTAACCAAGCATGAAAAGATTAAAAAGTACTTAGTGAATAGGCTTTGGTTAAGGGCACCTCTACGTGAAGCAAACTAAGCCCAACAAATCATTGTTGGGATAAAGTTCACATGTGACTATAATATCCCACATCACTAAAAAATCTGAATGAGATATCCTATATATACATGGAGGATCTAAGAACCCAATAGCTTGAGCTTTGAGCTCAAGTGGTATCCAACATGTATGTATAGTCTCTAGTGTGCTTTCATGTGCTCTAAGTGTGACTTATCTCCCCAACAATTGACATCAGAGCCAAAGGTTCTACTTGGACGTAAGGAGTGTGTGGAATCGAAACACCTAAGAAGGTCATGTACTAAGTTAATTTGTAATAAAATGCAAGGTGAAACAACTTAGACAGCAAGGTTATGTGCTATGATTGAGTCTAAGCTGTGATTGATTGCAAGCTTAAGAAAGCACTAAGATAACTTTGGCAACAAGGTTGTATGCTATGATTGAGTCCAAGCTTGAGGGCATTAAAATAACCTAGACCTACAGAGAGGCAAGGTTGAATGCTGGGCATAAAATGCACTAAGACCATCCAATATGTGAGGTTGCTTGGCCTGAAATGAAGTGTTGATAGGACTTACTAGCACGAGTGATTGAGGCCAAGCTTGAGAGGCACTGAAACAACTTAGGTAGCAAGGTTGTGTGCTATGATTAAGTCCAAGCTGTAATTGATTGCAAGCTTGAGAGGCACTAGAACAACCTAGGCAGCAAAGTTGTGTGCTATGATTGAGTCCAAGCTTAAAGGCATTAAGATAACCTAGACCCACAAAGAAGCAAAGTTGAATGCTGGGCCTAAGATGCACTGAAACCATCCAAGACGTAAAGTTGCTTGGCCCAAAAAAAGGTGTTGATAAGACTTACTAGCACGGGGAGCTGATGTGAGACTTGATTAGAACTCACAAATAAACGAGAGAAATTATTGGGATAAAGTTCACAAATGAGTAAAAACTCTCATATCATTAAGAAATCTGAATAACAGATCTTATATATACATGGAGGATCCAAGACTAAAGTGCACTGAGACCATCCAAGATGTAAGGTTGCATGGTCCAAAAAGAGGTGTTGATGGGACTTACTAGCAAGGGAAGCTGAGGTGAAACTTAATCACAACTCACAAGTGAACAAGATAAGGTTCACATATGACTAAAAAATTTCACATTACTAAAAAATCTTAATAAGATATCTCATATATACATAGATGACCCAAGAACCCAATAGCTTAAGTTTTTGTGCCCAAATAGTGTCTAACATGTATATATGGACTCTTTGATGTGTTCCCATAGACTCCAAATGTTAGGACTTACTAGCACGAAAGTGATTAAGGCCAAGCTTGAGAGGCACTGAAACAACTTATGCAGCAAGGTTGTGTGCTATGATTAAGTCCAAGCTGTGATTGATTGCAAGCTTGAGAGGCACTAAGACAACCTAGGCAGCAAGGTTGTGTGCTATGATTGAGTCCAAGCTTAAGGGCATTAAGATAACCTAGACCCACAAAGAAGCAAAGTTGAATGCTGGGCCTAAGATGCACTGAAACCATCCAAGACGTAAAGTTGCTTGGCCTAAAAGAAGGTGTTGATAAAACTTACTAGCATGGAGAGCTGAAGTGAGACTTAATTAAAACTCACAAATAAACGAGAGAAATTATTGAGATAAAATTCACATATGAGTAAAAATTCTCACATCACTAAGAAATCTGAATGATATATCTTATATATACATTGAGGATCCAAGACTAAGGTGCACTGAGACCATCCAAGATGTGAGGTTGCATGGCCCAAAAGGAGGTGTTGATAAGACTTACTAGTACGGAGAGCTGAGGTGAGATTTAATCACAACTCACAAGTGAACAAGATAAGGTTCACATATGACTAAAAAATTCCACATTACTAAAAAATCTTAATAAGATATCCAGTATATACATGGAGGGTCCAAAAACCCAATAGCTTAGGCTTTTGAGCCTAAATAGTGTCTAACATGTATATATGGACTCTTTGATGTGTTCCTATGGACTCCAAGTGTGACTTATTTCCCTAACAAATAAGATAATTGAAACACTTCAAACTTGGAGCTAATATTAATCAACCAAATCAAGTAGGCATGGTAGTAGAAAAAAGTAGCCAAAATGTGAAATGGTAGACAACAAAATGCAAGAGTACAATTCCTGTCATAGGCTAAAATACTTGATTGCAGTTAAACAAGCAACCAAAGGCCAAAGAATATTCATATATGTTTAAGGCGAAAAGCAGACCTTGATGATTAAAAATTACATCCAATTCTAAGTGGAGCTTAGACATCTTTTTGATGTAGTTTCCCTGTAATAATCTTGAACATTTGGAGGCCTTTGCTAAATGCATCATTGAAAAGGATCCTTGTCTGCATTGACTGGAATCCAGGCATCCATGACAAAAGTGCTACAGGGGCCATGACAATAACTCCAAATAGTATTTCATAAAGCCGAGCCACAGAAACCACAGAATCCCAGAGTCTGGTATGCTGAAGAAGGGGTCGAAATACCTGAGCAATCGATATAAGTCCCCAACCAGTGGGAAGAAGAGCCAACAGACTGGTGAAAATATCAACTTTTTTGAAGGCTGTAACGTGTAGCAGAGCTATGATAACAAGAAACCCAAGTATAATCAACAGGGATTGAGCCAGTCGAAAATATATATGCTCTTTTGCCTCATATTTGTCCCGAACATACAACACTGTTAGATAAATTCCAAATGCCACGAAAATGTAGATCCAAGACAAGAAGTAAACAGAAACACTCTTACTTTGACCAGAAATACCCATATGGTATACAATTCCATACTGGAAAAAGAAGAAACGAAGGTTTAAAACAATTTCCAGTAGCTTTCCCCAAAGGCTGGTTGTGCGTAAATGGTCCTGCTCCTCATACCACCACCTCTCCCAGCTCTGTTCAGACTTTGCAAACACACCACCATGGTACCAAATCCAGTTCATGAAATCATCTAAGTCATTTACAGTCTTTAACCAATCAAAACCAGAAGGATTGAACAGGAACGGTGCAAATATCCATGATAGGACTAGGAGCCAACTTGTCACTGTCATGTCTATGTAAGAAAATGTGTTCTTGGCTGCAGGGCTGTATATTGCATAAACTGTAAGAACCAATCCAAGCTCAATGGCCTTTATAAAATGACTGCGTGAATACAATCTGTAATTTTCTGCAAAACTCCTGTGTTGTACAGCAAAACTACGCCCAGTTGGTAGATACTTAGCACCCCCATGAAGGATGGTCTGACTGAAGAAATGGGCACGAGTGCCCATGGAGAATGTGTAAAAAACAATTGAAAGCTGGAGCTGCATCATCAAGAATTCCCAAATGGCTTCAAGAAAACCACTCTCAACGTAGCTCTCCACAATTGCCGGAAGGGTAGTAAATAAACCAAATTGAATGACGAGTTCTTGATTGATCACAGCACCGAGTGCTTTCCTGCTGTTGGTATCATTCCCTAGAACAGAATTCTCAACACCACTAAGAGCCAAATAAAGTTGAACCCATAGAAATATATACACAGTAAGGATGACCACAGTTGTGTTGAAGAAAAATCCAACAGTTGTGTGGAAGAATGACAACATTCGGAAAAAATCAAGTCTTTGACCCAACCTGTAAACATCTCTGCTAAGAACCTGTTCACCACTCCCACATGCTATCTTGGCTTCAAACTTTGATATTTGATTCAACCCAAGATCCCTTCCTTTGCCAACCTGAATGTATTCATGGTGTGTGACGCTACCTCCTCGCAACGTACAATTAAAGCCAGCAAAAATGTCCTCACTGATATTAATTACTTTGGAAGCTTTACTAAGCCCACCACGAGTCAGGAACCAAAACCTGTCAAAGACATCAGGATGGCCATAATGCATTCGAATTTTCAGAGGGTTTGCGTAGAGACGCTGAACTAAGGTAACAAAACTTGTTTCCTGAGCTGACATAAACCAAGCAAGTGAAGAAACAGAACCCGTAAAAATATGTTCTCTAACCCCCAAGATAGTTGGCCTCCGGATTCCATGATAGTGCCTGAATTCTTCCAACAGGTTGCGAAGTTTTAGTGCCTCCTCAAAATAGTTGTCTTGGTTCATATCAATAGTTTGAACAGCATCACCTCGAGTGAAGATAATGGAATGGTTCTGATTCTCTGGTTTGCCCTCTCCAAGGTTCAAAGGACCAGGCAATTTGACACGATAGATCTCCACTTCCCTTTGTAATTGTTGATCATACTTAACAAGAACAGAGTAATATTCCTCATTATAACCTATTGAAACCTGATCAACATAGGAAATTCTAAGGGCTTCATTGTGTTTCAATAAATCCATGATGTCTTCAGCAAGGGGATCCTTTCTGGCCTTATGTTCCCCATATTTCTGACAGGAAACTACATACGTGAACTTCATCAAAGCAATCCCGTACTCATGGCCTTTGAAGCGCAAACTTGCTGAAGGTAACCTCTTGGAGTTGGAACCATCAAAACTGCCATCTCTCCCCATAAAACCAAGTTCTTGTTCCTCTTCTCTTATAGTTATATCCATCTCCGTTGAAGAATCAAGAAAAGTTAGCATCTGTAGAGCTCGATAATAATACATCATTCCCCTGACAGTGCGTGCAAGAGTCTGACCTCTATAAGATGCCCAAAGCCTCAGATCTCTCAACTTGGATGTCCATATTTCTTCATCTGTTACCATTCCCTCTCGGTACATTCTTTCAATGAAATTTTTCCACTCATCATCATAAATGGTCTGCAAATAATACAGGATAGAAATTCCATCTTCATTCTTAGTTCGGAGTATTTCTTTGCTATATAACACATCTTCATCGCAGAAAGGGGTAAGGACACTAAAAGCCATCATCTTCTCCACTCGAGGAGCATGAGGCATTTTCATAAAGAGTGAGTTGCTAAAGAACGCAAGTCGACGTCTTGCCTCAATATTAACAGGAATGTTATGCATTGAATCCCTGGTGGTAAGAATTGTATGCAACCGCTTAACCTCCCTATAGAAGTTCTCATTACTAGGATATGGCAACTCAGCCACATTTTCAAATAGCGATCCACCCATGGCAGTTTGACTGCGTGACGCCAATCCATCCTCCCTCAACTGGTCTATAGTCCTCTTCGCTTTAAAAAAATCATGAACAATAATTCCGTAAAGGACCTGAATAGCATTCCCCACCTCACTCACATTCTTTTTGGGTTCAAGCAATAGCTCGACAAGTTTTATCAACTTGGAATGAATTTGCAGCAGTGCAGTCATTTCAAATGTTGCAGTGAAATTCTCAATCCCAATAGAATGATCGATTTCCTGGAACAAGACTTTGAGAATGGAATTCTCCTCAGTGTTGTTATTAAATAGTATTTCAAGCATCAAGTACTTGAGACAATGATAAGTTTCAATCACAGCACAGCGCCTATACTCATTCTTGCATATTTTATTCCAGAGCCACTTATCAGGAGTATCCATCAAGTCTCTTGCCAGCATAAGAGCAAGTAGCAACTCATTCCCTAACAAAAAACAAGGCCAACGAATAACCTTGATATTCCAAGAATTCCTGGGCAACTCTAATAGCTCAAATTCTCGGTCAGATATGATATCTTCTTCCCTAAAAGTGGTAATTATCTCATTCCATATCAAAGCAAACTTATTAGCCTCAACCTGGTTTGATTCGATCTTTTTGAAAGGCTGCCAAAGCCCATAATATCTCAGCATCAGCCAATAAATCACATAATTAAATTTTTCCCTCAAAGTTCTAGAACTCTTTAATTGCTCTTGTGGCATCAGATTGAATACAACGGAACTAGCAAAGAATTGAAACTGCAATCTCAACTGCTCGATGTTTCTGATCTGACCCAATTGTTGGATCAACCCCACCACAGCACCCACGAAGGAAGAATAGATTGAGAACCAAATTTGAGTATCCACCAAGTAAATTAACACCACAGGCAACCACAACAACACGATAACAAGCTTGTTGCTGACACTAAAATTCTCATGCCAGTGCCACTCATACTCTTCAGTTTTCAAATCCAACAATTTTTTTGTTGTGCTAATCATAGGTTTAATCTGCAAGAAATAACTAAATGCAAATTTTGTACTTAACACCACAACCCAGAACAGAATATACTTAATGGTATCAACTAGCCCTTCCCTCAATCCTTGACCGATAAAACAGTTACCATGGAACCACCAAGATATCAGGTAAAATATTCTCCAATTCCTATGCTCAATAAAACGCCTAATACAAGGAAGGAAAAACAATGGCAATTCCAGCACTTCTGGTAACACATAAAGAAATGCAAGCCATAGAAAGAAGATTACCCTTTTGTTAGCCTCATCAGACCAATGTTTGTCATAGTTCCTTTGCATCCAGATCCTTCTATAACAAATCATAAAAGCATAAGTCCAAGCCGCAGCAACCAAAATCTTTAGCACCATCCTAAGAACAAATCGCATTGTCTCTCTAGAAACACGACCGCACTCCATAGCTGCTTCCAATAAAGCATGCAAACACCTCATTCCGCTCCAAGTGATAAACAGTGTCAAAACTCTAACCTTAACATCCATATTATTCAAAGCCTGCGATGGATACTCCTCCTCCCAGGCCAAGATAACCGCGACGTGAAGGAACAGCACTAGCATCACCCACAGCCTGTCAAAGCTTCTGTAAACGTTCCAAAATGTCCTATGTTCAACAAACCCAGTTTTCCTTTTACTTTTCCTTGTACTGAATGCGTGAAAAAAATTGCTGCCGTTATCAATTGGCCACTTGAGATTCTGAAAACATCTCTTACTCCAAAAGTACTCATTGAAATCATCATAGTTCCTCCACGTACTATGAGAAGCGGTTCCATACTTGCTTCCCTCCACCTCAAGCTTGATTGTTTCATATATTGGCTTCACAATGCAGTTTAGAAACGCGTTTTCCCCTGATATTGATGGGGTCGCTTGCAATCCAGTATTTTCATCAATGTCGTCTTCTAGAATTTTATTCAATTCCATGGTCATGTGATGAAAAATGTAGCAGATGCATTCAGGCATGAACCTTAAATTCGCAGATTCTCCCCATATCAATAAATAGAGTCCTACGTAAAGTAGTTCTCTACGAGTATCAGAATCAGAGCTGGAGCTGTTGGAAACGCAAACGTTGGATTTTTTCCCGAGATAAGAGCTCCAGTTAGTGTAATTTTCAAGTAACTTACAGCGGAATTTGCGGAGGGCTATGGTTTGAAAAGTAACAGTGTCATCGGGAGGAGGAGAGAGGCGCATTTGAGCGTTGGCCAGGTGGAGAACAAGGTGCTCCCTTTGGTTCTTTATGTTATCACGTTGGAAACCAAAGAACAGACCCAACCAATCGAGGAGGTCCATGGACGGAAGCCACTGGGAGTATGGTGGCTTGCGGAGGTTACCGACATCGCGTAAGGATGATATGGTGGTGCGTACTTCTGGGTACCGAAGGGAGGGGTGGTCTGTGTGGAGATTATGTACAGGGATTATGTTGTATGGTTCGTCATCTGGTGGAAATGACGGTGAGTCACGCCAGAAACGGCGTTGGAACATGGAACCAAAACAGTAGAAAATGGCAAGAGAAAAGCTGAAACTGGAATTGGGTTACCGTGAAGGCTTAGCTGTGCCAGTGGAAAATTAATGGAAAATGATTGTTGAAGTGCGTTTACTTCTTTGCAGGTAATTTTAGAATAAAATGAAAATTATAATATTTTTTACATACTGATTTTATATGCCTTTTGGCATTATGTAATAGACATATTAATTTTACTAATTGCTCCTCCAACATAATTTTACTAATGTCGTACTCTGGTTTTTTTTATTCGTTTTTAACATTTTTTTTGCTTTTTTACTTTCAACGGCACATGAACAGGCTGTCATGCCCTTTCCCATTATGTCACGTGCTACGATACAAGTGGCACATATTTTTTTTCCTTTTTTTTTCGTTCTTAGCTTTTTTTTTAAAATTAATAAATTCTAAAAAATTATAAAAAAATATATGTTTATAAAGATTGTATTTTTATGTGTATGAACATTATACCAATTTTTTTTTTTTTTTTTTCAATTTTTTATTTTTAAAATAAAAAATAATTAAAAATTTTTTAAACACACTTGAATAATATGTTGTTTAAAATTCTGTTTTCTTTTATTATTGCATGTCATTTTTAAGGTTTTATTTTTTTTTGTTTCTTTATTTTTCTTTAAAATTATTTAATAAATATTTTTAAATTTATAAAATTATATATTTTTTAGATTTTTTAAGACTTACTTGTATCAAACTTTTTTATCATAATTATAAAAATATTTCTATAATATATTTAATTAAAATTACTGTAATGCTCTTTAATGATAATTACAAAAAAAATTTTATTACGTCCTGTAAGACTTTTTTTAATATAATTACAAAAAATCCTTCGAATTATTGACCCTAGGCTTACAGAACGTCATGTGTCAACCACTCAACCTGTCACGTAGTAGCTCTTGGATTTTTATATTTATTCTTGTAATTTTTTTGAGTGGTGGGACCCAATTTTTTAAACGATACGGGGCTCACTTTTTTTTTTTAAAGTGTGACTTTTTTTTTAATCCGTTTCTTTTTTTGTTGGTGGGACTCACATGTTTAAAATTTTTTAAAGGGTGTGGGCTCGCAACTATTTTTTTTGTTTTTTTAAAGATGTGAGTCTCAAATTTTTTTTCAAGTAGTTTATTGTTTTGTTATTTTTTATTTATAGAACTCACATGCTTTTTTTTAATTTTTTTTGAAATATGTAGTACCCACATTTTTAAATTTATTTTATGGTTTTATTTTTTTTCATCCTTTTTTATTTTTTATTATATTCAATATTTTCAAATATATATTTTTAAAAATTTTGTTAGTTTATACCAATTTTTTCTCTCTTTTTTCTCTTTTTTTTATTTTTTTTACTATTTTCTTTTTTATATTTTCAAAAAAAAATTTATTTTTTCGTTTTAATTTGATTTTGAAATTCACTTGCTATTAAAGGTAAACAATATATTTATTTTTTCTCTTTTTTTAACTTTTCTTTTTTATTTTATATAATTGATAAATATTTTTTATTTAAATTTTTTTAGTTCCACTTTAAATCAATGTTATACAATATGTCCTATCATTTTATTTTTTGTTGAATTTTCTATTAACTTTTTAAATATTTAATAGTTTTTAAATTTTGATTTTTTTAATATGAGTCACTTGATATATTATTTAAAATATATGTTTGATTTTTTTATTTTTTATTTTTTAGTTTTATCATTTTTAAAGAAAATGATAAGTCAAGATCATTAGTAGCAAGCCAAATCTCATCAACATACAAAATCAAAAATTTAAACTTGCTTTCACTAGCCTTCAAATATATACACCGATCAATAGTGATTTCTTTAAAACCAAAAGAAGTGATAGTATCATTGAACTTAAAATATCATTGTTGGGAAGTTTGTTTAAGTTTGTATATTGATTTTTTAAGTTTAAACACATTTGTTCATTTTCTTTAACTAAAAAACTCTCGAGTTGATCCAAAGGTAGTATCTTTTCCTTTTAAGACATTCTTAATGTTACCTCACATGGTTCATCCACTGTAGGTTCATTGGCTATTATTTCATTATGGGATGTTTGGTAATTTGCTTTTTGTTATTGTAGTTGTTAAACTATTCAACAACTATAAGAACAACAATTTAAGAAGAAGTTATAGGTACAAAATTTACACCTCAACTTCTTAAAATTCCACCTTGCACTGTTCCACACCCCTACTAGTTTCACCATTTTCAATGAACCTAGCATTTTTAATTTCAACAATTCTTGTACTATAGCTAGGATAGTGTAATCTATACCTTTTAGATTTTTTAGACAACCAATGAAAAAACCACAGAATGTTATTGAATCTAGTTTCTTCTTATGTAGATTATAACTTTTTATTTTTGCTGAATAGCACTAAACATATAAGTGCCTTAAATTAGGTTTCTTTCTTATCCACAGTTTAAAATGAATCTTTGGAACTACCTTACTAGGAACCTTATTTAATGAATACATGATGGTTTTCAAGCATGCATCCACAACGATGAAGGCAAAGAAAATTGCTTAACATACTCCTAACCATATCCATTAAAGTGCAATTATGCCTTTCTACAACATAATTTTATTGCAGTGTACCTAGCATTATGTATTAAGCACGGATGCCATGCTTTTCAAGGAATTTAGCAAATGGATTAAGATATTATCCATTTTCATCATACGTTCCATAATATTCACCACCATCATCAATCAATTATCAAATTCAAACCCATTTACTTATGGAATTAAAGCCTACTAATGTCATCACCTATTAAACTTAATTTTTTAAGAAAAAACCAATAATTTTAATATGGTAAGAGGAGCGTTATAGTAATTTTATCCAATGATGATGGGAGGGCATTTCTATAATTATGGTTGCAAAAGAGATATTTTAGTAACTAAAAAGGGCATTATAGTAATTTTAGTTAATATAGAAGGAAAGCCATTATAGTCGATTTTGATGTGAATCATTCAATTGTCAAACAATTATAAGGGCATAATGATAATTTTCAAAGGGATCACTTTAATATAATTGTATGGGTGTTAAAATGTAATACGTAATTATGAAGTAATAAAAATACATTTTCATAATTATGACAAGATGGTATTATAGTGTTTTTGGTAAATTATAATATGAGGGGTATTTTTGTAATTATGGTGAGAGGGTATTATAGTAATTTTGGCAAATGATAGTAAGAGGGCATCTTCGTATTATGGTAGCAGGGCATTATATTAACTTTGACCAATTATGATAAGAGGAGTATTTTAGTAAATATGTTAAGAAGGGCATTATTTTCATTTTAATTAATCATAGAAAAAGAGGTGCTATAATCAATTTGGATGTATGTAATTCAATTGATAAATAACTAAAATGGCATTATGATTATTTCTAAAGGGATTAATTTCATATTATTGTATGCATGTTAAAATTTAATACATAACTATGAAACAATCAAAAGGGTATTTTTGTAATAATGCTTGAGGGTATTATAGCAATTTTGATCAATTATAATATGAGGAGTATTTTTGTTATTATGATAAGAAAGGCATTATATGAAGCAATCAAAAAAGTAATTTTTGTAATTACAGTTAGAAAATATCATAGTAATTTTAACTAATTATAACATAATGGGTATTTTCATAATCATGGTAAGAGAACATTTTTGCAATTATGGTTAGAGGGTATTATAGTGATTTAGACCAATTGTAATATGAAGGGTATTTTACTAATTATGTAAGAGGGCATTTTTGTAATTATGGTTGTATGGGCATTATAGTAAGTAAATAAGGTAAGAAGAGTATTATAATAATTTTAGTTAATCATTGAAAGAAAGGTATCACAGTTAATTCAAATGTATGTAAATCAATTGTCAAATAATTAAAAGAGCATTATGATAATTTATAAGGAGATTAATTTCATATTATTGTATATATGTTAAAATTTAACCTGCAATTATGAAACAATCAAGAAAGCATTTTCATAATTATGCTTAGAAGGTATTATAATAATTTTGGCCAATCACAATATAAAGTTTAACTAAAAAAGTGCTCTGCTAGTTTTGTTCCAATTCAAAAAATAAATAAATTGAACCTCATGCAATGCCCAAAAAATGAATTTAAATGCAAACAAATAGAACAAATTCCTTATACATCTATTGTTAAAAGTTTTATATATGCTAACTTGTACCAAGCCAAACATTAGTTTTAGTGTTGGAATGTGAGGCATGCATCAAATTGATCTAAAATTAGATCATTTAAGGACTGCATGAAAAGTATTGAGATACTAGCAAGAAATGAAACATAACATGCTCATTGATAGTAGACTCAATCATCTTAAGGCGATAAAATATTCAAATTCAGATTTTATTAAGTGTATAGATACTAGAAAATCCACATTTGGCTATTTACTTCTTTTTAGTTGATAGAGCTGTTTCATAAAAAAGTGCAAAGCAATTTGTCATTGCTACATCAACTATAAAAGTTGAGTTTGTAGCATGCTTTAAAGCCGCTATTTGTGGTTTATGGCTACGAAACTTTATTTCAAGACTTGAAATTGTTGACAATATTGCCAAACATCTAAAATTTATTGTGCAATGGTGCAACAGTCTTCTTTCCTATAAACAAAAAATATATATTCTAAAACAAAATGAAAAGTATATAAAAATGTTGAACACATGGAAATGAAATAAGTTGACGTTAATAAAGAAGTCCAAAAATAAAAAGTGTCAATTGAACACATTAACACCAATCTTATGGTTGAAGAGCCATTAACAAAAGATTTATCACCAAAGACTTTTAATGAACATGTTGAAAGAATGGGCATTATTGAAAACAATTATTGATATTATGGTAAAGTTTTATGTTTTTTAAAAATTTGATGCTCTAAACTCTTTTAAGTACCATTTATGACATATTAATGCATCATATTTCATTATGTTAGTATATATACTTGATTAAATTATGTGAATATAAACATAATTTGTCTCTAATGAAGACATTATTGTTAGACCATTATGGTATCTGTCGTTACAGGTTATGATGAGTATAGAACAAAGAATG